CTTGTTATTCCACTGGAAAATCACTCTCATGGTTCATAGCTGAACGTAGCAACAAAAATGTAGCACATCTTCTTTTCCAATGCTTTTCCAAAGTCCCAAGAACAATGCTCAGGCATACAGACTCATCTCTAAACGTGAATATTTTACTAACCTAAATAAAGGAGCAAACAGGGAAAGCACGGATAAGCTAAAACTGGCTCATTCTTACCAGCACTGTCCTTTTTCTCCCAGTAAACCCTTGAGTCACGAACCATTGATTCATGTAGAAAACTTCGCTGAGTACCTATCTGCTAGGTCCTGCACCAGATACCATGGACAGAGAAGGTATCCGTCTCCTGTAACTCATCTGACAACTTAACACGAACTGGGTGGCTTAGAACAACAGAAACTGACCCTCAGTGTCATCAGGGTTGCACCCTCTTAGCTGCAGGGGAGAATCCATTCCATCCCTCTTCTAGTTTCTGGTGGCTGGCAGCTTCCTGACATCAAATCAGTCTAATCTCTACGTCTACCTTCATGTCACCTTCTCCTCTGTGTGTCCCTTATGAGGACACTTGTCATTGGATTTAGAGCCCACCGGGACAATGCAGGGTGATCTCATGTCAAGATCCTTAATGACATCTACAAAGGCCCTTTTTGGAAATGAAGTACCATTAGGATGTGTACGTATCTTTTAAGGGGTCACTCTTCAACCCACGACAGAGAAAAAGATGATTAACACATAGTTCTTGCCTTTAAGAAGCAACAAGACTGGAAAATATGCTAATGAGGGAACTGCAACTGAGGAAGGAAGAGGAGGCTATGAGGGACCCACAGGCTAAAGAACCAGGGCCTGGTTAACCAAGACTGGTACTACTTTAAAAATATTCAGAAATAATGAGCAGGTGCATAAAAGCCAACAGGACCGGCCTTGAAGGAAATAAAGTGAGGAGTCCTATGTTAGAGATTCTCTTCTTCCTTCTGCATGCATTTGAATCAGCATCCTCATCAATGTGTTCAAAACTCACCAGATGCTCAAAGACCACAGTGCAAACAGTCTCTAAACTCTCATATTCAAAGAAGAACCTGGACTGGGGGGGAGTGGGTGGGGCAGACTGAGTCACAGATTCAACAGCACTAGATGGCAAAAAAGAAGTCTGTTGGCCTTCCCTGGTGGCGCAGTGGTTGGGAGTCCGCCTGACGATGCAGGGGACATGGGTTCGTGCCCTGGTCCGGGAAGATCCCACATGCTGCGGAGCAGCTGGGCCCGTGAGCCATGGCCGCTGAGCCTGTGCGTCCGGAGCCTGTGCTCCACAACGGGAGAGGCCACAACAGTGAGAGACCCGCGTACTGCAAAAAAAAAAGTCTGTTGTGACAGAAACTGGCAGGACTGCTAGATAAGTGTACTCAGAATGAGCATCTGCTCAATATCAAGGCAACGGCAAGGCTGATGGGAGAGAAAATAAACTCAATCCACTGATGGGATGTGACAGGCTAAGGAAGGCAGTATCAGTTGGGTTGTTCAGAGACACAGCTAATGCCTAAAGTAATCAAATGGATCGTGGATCTTTGTAAACAAGACAATTGGGCTGTGGGTGAATCCTGAGTGGGTGTTTCTGAGAGCTGGGTTTCGATCTATGGCCGCTCTATTTCACTCACTGCCTTTGCACTGAAAGTGCATTGACCGACAGCTCTCATCACCTTTCTCTCCCCTGCCTCGTACCGTGTTTCCTATTCAAAAGTGCATCCCCTAACGTGTGATCCCTAGAAGTAATTTTTTAAGGAACTTTCAGCATCTGTATGGAAAATAGCAGCTATAAAATCTTTTTCACATGAGGCATTTCAAACAAATAGGTTCTGGATTGATTCTTTTTTAACTCCGGTAATGACATTTCATTCTCTCAGAATATAAAACTCACTGAGCCGATCCATCTTTGCAAAAACATCCTGAATTTAAGGAACTCAAGCAGCATGCTCTATCCCACTCATAAAAAACATACCAGAACCTAATGTTATGGTTGATTATTGTTGGATTCCTGAGAGTTGACCGTGTCTGGAATGCTCCGTGTCCTCTCTAGTTCAAGTATTAAGATTCTCTTGTGCACTCAGGCTTCTCATGGTAAAATAAAAAGGTCCCATTTGCAAAGTGTGAGGCAAGCTCGTTTGCAGGCCACACAGAGGACAGATTAGGAGGGTGCCTGAAAGGAGTTAATTCAGCCAGTGTCCCTTTACAGCATGCACCCCACACTGCCCCTCAGCTCGCCCCCTCTTTATCCACGCACCCACTCAGAGAGTTCTGGGTGCCAGAGCTCTTCAGCAAAGGGCTACAAACATGGAGAAGCCAAGAAAAGTGAGGCGCCAGGAAGATGGACCATCCGTATGGATTCTAACCTTCACAGCCCTAATAAGGCCCAAACCCATGAATAAGGCAGTTATCACTCCTGTTCTGTGACAGAAAGCTTAGATGTGCACAGTTGTCACCGGTTGGACTCGTTCATTTAAGCCAAGCAATGGTAATCTGAAATCAGCCATCTGAGATAGAGGAAATATTTACTCCCCTCCAAACCAAAGTTACCAATATCCACAAGCTACTTTAGACAGGGCTCTTCATCGAAGAGTCACTGTTCATAAGATGAGGAAAATTCCAGCAAATGAAAAGCCAAACTGGGACATTTCGTTCAAGGCGACTGGAGGTCTGTTTCTTGAACCATCAATCACTGAAGGAATCCTACGTGTCTTCTGCAGCTCAGTCAGTCTTAAAATAGGATTTGGTAAATGCGTGTGGACTGAGGTGTGCGCAGCCTGAACACATGCCATGGACCCTCCAGGGCTGGCAGGGGACCCTCTCCAGCGCCAGAGCTCAGGAATCTAGGCTGACACTATATGCATCAATATACACTACTTCCACATAGTTACTTGAAATAAATCTGTACGTAAGATTGAATATTATCTCCAAATCCAGTTACCTTAGCAACAAATGTCATAGAAACCACAATGAGAAAGGCTTTTAAATCAATTGTGCTGGTTGACTTTGAACCAATTCACTTGTTTTAGGTTTATCATTTCCTAATCAATATCCACAATCAAGTCCCAGAACTATAAAAGGAACTCAGGAGAGAACCTAGCTTGGTCACCTGGTGAGTGATTAAATCATCAAGGGAGGGGGGTGGGTTATTTTTTTCTTGATCCTCTCTAGAGACTTGAGAAACTTTGAAGGTGTAAACTCCTAAAGGGCAAAAAAATGTGTGCAAACAGATTCTTCCAAATAGTTTTGTTTGTGGGTTGTAGTGACTAAAACCAGTGGTCAACAAACCACGGCTCGCAGGTCAAATCCTAGCCTAGCGTCTGTTTTTATAAAACCTGTGAGCTAAGAATGCTTCTACATTTTTAAATAGTTGGAGGAAAAAATCAAAAGAAATGTAACATTTCATGACAGGTTTCCACGCACATAAAGTACATTTATTTGAATGCAGCCACACCCATTTGTATATTGCCTGTGGCTGCTTTCGTGCTACAATGGCAGAATTGAAGAGTTGCAAGAGACCACATGACCTGCAGAGCTGAAAATATTTACTATCTGACTCCTTCCAGAAAAAGTTTGCTGGCCTCTGATCTAGACAATTGCAATAGTAACATCAATTAATATCAATTGCAATAGTAGTATCAATTAATTTTCAATTATTGGCCCCTATCTTTTACTTCCTTCATTTATGACCCTAAAATGAACTCATCTGAAAATGTTAAACCAAAATAATATCCAGCAAGTGTGTAATCTCTGGCCACTTACTGTGAAGGTGAACTCCATTTTAGCATCCAAGGAATAAGTGAGGTGTTGGGATTTTTTTCAGTTTACTCCCCTTGAGTCCTTTTCTTTAGGGTGACCTTAATTTAGGACTTGGGCATGTAAACCTGAGATAATGTTCATGGTCAGTAGAAAATAGATGTGAGGATATGTAAGTCCTCTGAAGAAGTTCTACTCTATACATCTTCACTGTCAAAAGGTAAATGTCAGCAATACACTGACTTTAAACATGCCAATACAATGAAAAAAAAGTAATGGAAAGTGCCTTGACTGTGTTGAGACCTGAGTTCAAGGATGAGGACCTTTGAGACAGAATCAGATCAAGGAATGGGCCAGATGAGGCAATTTATACTTTTCACCTACTAAAACATCTGATTCTTCTGTATTGAAGAAATGTAAACTGGTCCTGTCTGCACTGAAGTAGACAGCACTCTTAAGTGATAATAAAAACTCTAATGCAACTGGAAACACCCATGAACAGATAAACAAAGTGTAATTCCACCATTCAATGGACTATTACTCGGCAATAAAAAATAACTACTGCTACCCACACCAACATGGATGAAACTCAGAATCATTATGCTGAAGAAGCCAGACATAAAAGACTACATTCCTGCCTGACTTCATTTATAAAAAGTCCAAACTAAGCTGTAATGGTTAAAAATCAAATCAGGGGTTGCCTGGAGGCTGGAGGTGAAAGGAGAAAGGAAGGCTATAAGAAATCTTTGGGTGTGGTGAAAATGTTCTGTATGTTGATTATGGTAGTGATGTAACAGGTATATAAAACTTTCAAAACTCGTATTGCACATGTTTAATGGATGGAGTTTATTGTTTGTATATCATTCCTCAGTAAAGCTGATTAAATACCACTCATGCAGACCTAAAAATAAATAAATCAATAAAATAAACTTGCCAGTAAAATCATCTTCCCACCACGACTCCCAGGAAATTTACTTTCGTTAGGAAGAGAGAAATGATCTGCGTATTAGCCTCCCATTAGGAATGACCACGAGTCACAGGAAGTAGCTCTACTGACACATGTCAGATGACAGTTGACCAGGTCTGTCTTGAAGAACTAGAGTCAATCGATGACCCACCACCTGGGAACCTGGAGACCCCAAATGGTAAATGACTAGACCCAAGCAATTGTTCAACATAACCATTTAAACCACCTTTTCTCTCCTGGGGAAGAAAATAATGACAAAAATCTACACAAAAATACTATGAAACATTTTTAATCCTGGAAAGGACTTGATCACTGGTAACCAAAGAGGGGAAAAGTCAACAAGAATAGAATCCAATCTTTTAAATCAAGTGAACACATATCAAATTGCTCAACATTGTTAAATGGCATGATATAATTTATCCATAGAAGACATAATCTCATTCAGTGGAAAGCTGATTTAAATGTTTTGACAGAGCGCTAAGAGATATTATAGGTAACAGCTGACTTAATGGAGTATTTAAGCCTTCAAAACTGCCTTTTAGAAAAATAACAAATAACTTCCACCACTTAGAGGGGAAAGGAAATAACAACTGTCAGCTAAAAATCATAGAAACGTGATTAATTTGTTTATGCCTTTCAACATTCCACTGAGATCTGCAAAGGCAAGACATAAAATTAAAGTGAGTTCTATGGCCAGGATTGATCTGAATATTTTCCTCACAATACTCCTTCTGTCATACTTCTTCAGTGCTTGGAATAAAATGACAACCCACTGGGATCCAAAGGAAAAAGTCAGCTCTTTCCAAAGATGGGACTGAGCTGCCAAAATCTATTTTATATCTAAAATTAGAAATAAAATAAATATATCCTTGAATGCCAACTATATTTTCAGAGAGTTCATTAAAATTTAAGGCATTTTTGACACGTCAGAGATTTTAGTCCAGTGACAGGAGAATAAAGAAGCTACCTGGGAGCAAATCCCAATTATCTCTATGGCTTGGAACGTACACGTTGAGCACAGCAAAGATGAAGAGAGAGGTGACAGGTGACTACGCGGAAACTACCTGACTCTGTCCAGTCTGTATGACTTTGCCAGGGTTCCTCTAAAAGGGTGCACTTCAAGTGTATTTTCATTCTTCTGTTTAAATTTTGATCAACATGGGGAAAGGGTCATCAGCACTGTTGGCAGGATAAAAATGAGCAATGCCAAAATAATTTCTTCGTTAAAACAGAATTTAAGACATTAAACGTGGAAGACGTTTATGTAAAGCAATGCCCTCCGTGAATTTCACAACAAACAATAAAACAACGGCAACCTCACCTATACTCACGAATCCAACAGTAGTGATGTACACAAAACAAACATTCACTCAACAATAACAGAATGGTCCAGTGTTTTACCCACCAGTCAAATAAATTCAATTATTTATTTTTATCTCATTTGCCACAAAACTAAGGACGACCTGCTGAATCAAAAGTTACAAGTCATACCTCATGGACAGACTTGGGGCAAAACATTCAATAAACCCTGCCCCTATGCCCTGCCTCTCTCGGCCAATCACCAGGCTTCTAAAAAATCTGGATTAAAACCTGTAAAGATCACTGTTTATTGGAAACAAACCAGAGCACCTTAGATTATAAATGGTCAGAAAACTCCCCTCTTTCCCGCTTCTAAAACAATTAAGTTTTACACAAAATTGGTCAAATCCAGCTTCATTCAAACTTCTTTCAACCAACGGTATTTAAGTCGCACTAATACCAATATAACCCGTCCATCATAGGAAATATGACAATTACCTGGATCATTTTTGGATAAGAGCAACAACACTTATTTCATGACTGCTTATGGGACACAACCACATTCTTATTCTGAATACAGTTATATGCGATTTTCTAAAATTCAATCCCTGCCCTGCTAACTTAAAAAGAAAACTTTCATGGAAGTCATAATCCTTAAAGTCTTTGGCAGGAAAATAAGCATATAACCTTTGATGCCTGACATAGGGTAAATGTCCCACTGTCGTTTTCTGGAGATCATGAAATTATCCCAATACCTTTGTACAGTTGTCTGTACTTATAGACAAGCCAGCCCACTTTCTTCTCATGATTTTGCAAGTGATCTGATAAACAAGCTTTCCTACTCATTCTAAATTATACTTCAAGTATTACATAAATTGTTTCAAGCCATTTGACTTTTATAATAGTGTCAGCTTGTTTGTACCAGTGGAAAGTCAAGGCTTCTCCTTATCCTTTTTTTTTTTTTTTTAAGAATCCCACTTTCAGTCAAGCCCTTCTTACCAGTTCCAACAAGGATGGAATTTCAAAGGCGATTATAAGTTAGATAACCCAAGCACATGCTGACTCTTCCTTAAGAATTACTGCTTACTTAGGCTTCTGAAATCAACAAGGATACCCTATGGAAAAATGAAAAATCTATTGTCTTTCTTTGTTCACCATTTTTAATAGAAAACATGTTTTAAGGTCTGTCAGGAAAATAAATAATGGGAAAAAATAACTGTACCTTAAAAATTTTTTCAAATTGTTCCCCAAAATATAAACAAAGACAAGACATAAATGGGATCACAATGCATATGCTCACATCAGCCCTCCAAACACACTTTTTATATAGAATTCATAAAGAAGGAAAGTTACCCATTAATTCTATGGCATGCATCAGCAGTGCACTCGTGGGCTTAACCTTGGTTTTGAGTTATTTGTATATACAGATACATCTCTTCCTGAGTTGAGCTTCATCTTCAGTTGAGACTCAAAACATTTGCTTTCTTATTTTTGGCAAGACACTTGACCATGTTATAAGGCAATCTAACATTTCAACCTCCTTCCCTTTTCAGCGGCATGGCCCGCCTCCGTGACATCACCAATGTGCCGGATACGAGGACAGGCTCTAAACTATGGTCCTGTAAGACTAGAGAGCAGGTTTCTTTGTTCATTAGTCTGAAGGCTACAGCACTGTCTTTCATATATTGGGAGATCTTGAGGATTTCAGTTGAACAGATTCAAAATGGTCTTCTTTGTCCTATGGGGGAAAAAATATTAAGACAAAATCAACTCACTAAAATTCCAGTAAGATTTTAGGAGCTTACATATCCAGAAACTAAGTTCTGAAATCATTTTAATCTACGTACCTGCCACTTGTAATTAGGATTTTACATTTAAAGGAGGGTGGCAGATATAAAACAGATAGCATGCCTACCCTGAATGATGCCTTTTTTTTTAACTTTTTATTTTATATTGGAGTAGAGTTGATTAACAATGTTGTGTTAGTTTTAGGAGTACAGCAAAGTGATTCATTTATACATATACATGTATCTATTCTTTTTCAGACTCTTTTCTCATTGAGGTTGTTACATAATATTGAGCAGAGTTCCCTGTGCTATACAGTAGGTCCTTGTTGGTTATCCATTTTAAATATAGCAGTGTGTACATGGCAATCCCAAACAGATGTCCAGGGGATAAGACACACAATTCAAAACAGAAGCCAACACATGACTGCAACAGATACCAAAAGATGAAGCTGTGATTCTTGTGAAGAAATCACTGAGACCCATGCAAGGGGGATATTTGATCCGGGTGCTGAAATAGATGACCTATCCATGCAAATTGTAGACAGTAAACTAAATATTCTCAAGATAACACAGGGTAAATAATCAGAAAAAAGGAGAGCAGAAATAAAGATAACACCAATAAGACACAAGATCATTTGGGTCCACTGATATGTTGGAGGAAAATCTTTGGGAATCATGCCTACTAAAGATATTAAAAAGAAGTCACCTAGGATAATAAATCAAAAATTTAATGCAAATATATCATTGCTGGCATTTGTTATATAATACATTCAAAATGTAGCCTGTTAAGATAAATTATTCTTCTTTAATGGGGAAAAAGAGAAATAAGAGGTGAGGTTTCTCCCAATGTTTTCATGGTTAGACAAAGCTTTCCGAAGGCTACTGGAATGGGGTGGGGGAACTATGCTGTTGAAGAGAATAAAGATGAACAGAACTAGGATTATTTTAAAAATAAAAGAAATATGAGGCAGATCAGTCCTGGGTGCACATGGATGTGTCTCTAAAGCAGAGAAGTGAAATGAGGAAACAACAGGAAATAGAGATTGAGTATCTGTCAGGAAGAATGAGGTTGCTGTTGTGTCTTCTCTCATTTGAGTGGAGAAATCAGAGACTTCAGATCAATTTAAGGCCACATGGTCAGGATTACAGAAAAAAAAAATCACAGCATGAACACCAGCATATCCCATGTCCCTGCCTCTACCGAGACGACAAGCCCCTGGGAGAGCAGCCTGCAGATCGCAGCGCCCTAACCCACCGGCTCTGGGAGATCCTGCCTGAAGTCTCATGTTCACCAGCCTTAATCTTCTAGGAATAACCATCGATAATTCAAGTATTTATTAGGCACCCATGTGTTACAGGAACAGGACTAGACTTTATGGGATACAAAACGTCTGCTCTCAAGGAGCTCACAGTGTATTACAGGAAAGAGTGTTAGAGTATCAGCCATGAACTATAAGAGAAAGCTGAGCTTTCTGTGGCCCTGCCTTGAGAAGATTTGATTCAACTTGTTCTTCAGGAAGGGCAGACAGAGACCTGTTGCTTATCCTCAAGGTAATATTTCAAGTAAAACACTGAAAACAGTCATGCTATTAGGGCTTCACAGGGCTTTCGTTACCATCTCCTCTGTGTTCTATGTTCACATGGGATTTTGCTCCTATGGCTGACGTGGTGGGATATATACCCATGCACGCACGTGTGTGTGTGTGTGTGTGTGTGTGTGTGTGTGTGTAGTTAACACTACTGACTGGGACTTCCTAACAGCAGGAATTGTATCTTGTTCACTTTTTAATTCCCATAATATGACCCAAGGCCTAGCACATGGTTGGCTGTCAATCAGTGGTTGTGAAAATGTACTGAAACACCACCATGCAGAAGGAAAAAACCTGGATTGGAACTCAGAATACGTGGTTTCTAATTCCCATCTCACCCACTCTTGGACAAATAAGTGAACCTCTCTAGGTTTCAGTTTACTCATGCATTAAATAAAGATGCCATGTAAAATGATCTTTTTAAGCTCTAAATTCAAGAATCTACTCAAAATCCAACTTCTCCCAGAAGCTTCTCCTTAGCTTGTCACTACCCACCTAACTGTACTCTGTTCTCTTCTGTACTCCAAGAGACCTTACTCAATACTCGTCATACCAGATTATCCTGTGTACGTGGGTTGTGTGTGTGCATGAATGTGTGTGTTTGATGTGCATATGTCTTCCATCAATAAACTAGTCTCTGAGATTAACTGTGTCTAATATGACATCTCACCAAAACCCGGTGGATAGTATCCCATAAATGACGGTGACATGAACAAAAGGGAAAAAAATCAACTGAAGGTATTTTTTAATTGTTAAGAAAAGTCAAGTGAAGTAAGTCTATAAATGAAACCCCACAAATCCAGTGCATAAGGAAATACCAAAGAAGTATGGCCTTTAGAACATGAATAAGGATATATATAAGACAAAGTAAACCTTACTTGACACAGTAGTTAAGAAATTTATAAAGTTTTTTGCTCCATAAAATCATATGTAACATTTTAAAAAGTGGGACACACATAAAAAAAATTTAAAAATAAAAAGTAAAAAAAAATTTTAAAGTGGGACACAATAAAACTTGTACAATGGCATTCATAGCAGCTTCATTCAGTCAAACACTGGAAATAGCACAAGGGTCCTTCAAAAGGAGAACAGATGAACAAACGTGGCAAATCCATACAACAGAATACTCCTCCACAGGGAGCAATCTGCTATAGATAAACACAACAAGGTGGACGAATCTCAGAAAGATTTTTCTGAGCGGAAGAAAACTTACACAAAAACTTCACTCTCTGGCATTACGATTATGTGAAGTTCTGAAACAGGCAAAACTAATCTATAGTTTTAAGAGATCATCACAATAGCTTCCCCTGGAGGATGGGGACTGAGTATACACATAAGGACATGAGTTCACTTTCAGACATCAGACTACTGTTCTATATCTTCACAGGATTTAGGGTTACACAGGTATATTCATTTCTCAAATTTCATCACATTGTGTGTATTTGTGAAATATACATTTCACTCTGTGTAAACATTTTGCCTTTAAAAAAAACTTAAAATATTGAATTCTCTCATCAATTATATGTAAACTGAAGTGTTTAGGCATCAAATGTATTGAAGTCTGAAACTCACTTTGAAACACATCAAAAAAAAAGAAGATAGATCAATAAATGGATAGAGGGATGGAGAGATATGGAATAAAGAGTAAGATTTACGTGGTGGATATATGGTTGTACCACTGCACAATCCCTTCAACTTTTCTGGAATACTTCAAATTTTCATCTTAAAAAATGAAAACAAAATCATTACATTGACTAAAATTGCTATTCAAAATAAAATGTGGCACACTGGGGGCTTCCCTGGTGGCGCAGTGGTTGAGAGTCCGCCTGCCGATGCAGGGGACGCGGGTTCATGCCCCGGTCCGGGAAGATCCCACATGCCGTGGAGTGGCTGGGCCCGTGAGCCATGGCCGCTGAGCCTGCGCGTCCGGAGCCTGTGCTCCGCAATGGGAGAGGCCACAGCAGTGAGAGGCCCGCGTACCACAAAAAAAAAAAAAAAAAAAAAAAAATGTGGCACACTGCACCTTCTCAGGGAAAAAAGCTCTACCCTCCCTGTTTCCTGTGACTGTTTTCAAGAATCTTTTCAAGCTTTCACTTCTCTGGCTATAATATAAAAACAGAAGAGGTACTGTAAGAGGAGGAAACACTTAATGTTTTAGGTAGTGCTCATAATGCCCACTTATTCTTTTAGATTCAGCTCAGAGATGACTTTCCCTTAAATGCATTCCCTGGCACCTAAAGCCTCCCTTCATTGTAAGATACCACCCTTACAAATAGGGAATCAAACACATATATATGGAATCTAAGAAAAAAAAAAGGTCATGAAGAACCTAGGGGCAAGACGGGAATAAAGACACAGACCTACTAGAGAATGGACCTGAGGATATGGGGAGGAAGAAGGGTAAGCTGTGACAAAGTGAGAGAGTGCCATGGACATATATACACTACCAAACGTAAAAGAGATAGCTAGTGGGAAGCAGCCGCATAGCACAGGGAGAGAGGGGTGGGATAGGGAGGGTGGGAGGGAGGGTGAGAGGGAGGGAGACGCAAGAGGGAAGAGATATGGGAACATATGTATATGTATAACTGATTCACTTTGTTATGAAGCAGAAACTAACACACCATTGTAAAGCAATTATACTCCAATAACGATGTTAAAAAAAAAAACAAATAGGGAATCACAAGATCACACCAGGTGAGAAGTCTAAGTCAACTTGTGATGGAAGATAGTTTTTCATGGGCCTCCTGTGTTTCTGCAAGTCTTGTGAAAAGACACTGATAGTCCTTTATTCTAGGTGATTTTCCAAAGATGTTTCTATAACAGCCTTGGATGATATAGATAAAGTCTCCTTCCAGAATAAAGGAAACGTTTGCTTACAACCCAGAAAGCTACAGATACTGTCTTTCCCTGTGGAGCAAATGGCAGACATACGTCGGGCCCATTATAAAAGACTCATGTTCTCCAAGCCAGTTCCTCTACAATAACGTAACCCACTCTGTATACAGGCGTCATCTAGTCCACTTCATTGTGTGGGAAGTGAGGCTGGAGGAACCAATACAAATGCTGTGATTTGGGCCAATGCTAATGCTGTGAGTAATAAGCTGTGTTTTGTCTCTGACCCAGAAGACTCATTCCATCTTCCAAAGCGTCTATGAAACTATGGCGGGCTAATCTGTTGGCCAGTAAGTAGAGTGCGATTTCATTACCTTCACAGTTCTTCACTGTTTTGCCGATGAGAGGAGGAAGTTAATGAAGACATTTCTAGAAGAGAGCTTCACACTCTGGTTAACAAGATTTAAGGAAAGTCCCCGAGAATTGGGAACAGACATGCTGACCACACTGTATGGCAAACAAGGCAATAA